AAAATTTGTTATCAGGAACAGGCCTGGGTCATCGTTAGCAACATCATAAATGTTCAGCAGCATGAAGTCAGTCTGCATAAGGACAAAAATAGAGCTTCCTTCAGTATCAGCGGCCTTCTCTGATGTACATCCTAGAGATCTTGGTGATTAATTTCAGTTACATCTTTTGAAATGGTAAAGTGCAATTGTAACTAATGGTCCCCTCAACTTCACTGCCTTCCCTAGAGCAATGGAGAAGGTAGCCACCCATGATAGTGTTGTATGGTCCATGTTAGAAGGCATCTTCTCTCTCTGTCTCTCTCTCTGTCTCTGTCTTTTTCTGGTGAGACAGTTCATACTTGGACATAGCTTGTCCTCTCCCAGTGTGTGTGCAAAGAACTCCTGGCACAGCAGTGTGTACACCAGCAAACAACATGCGGAAAAAATGAGGACTGTCCAGTTCCTCCTGTGTGGGAAGGCAAGAGAATACTGAAACTTAGAAAAAAACCACAATGAAAAAGAAAAACCACAACAAAAAATAGTTATTTTATGAAATTTATGGCCTTTTTGGAATGAACAATTTAAGAAAGCTCATGCAACATGTTAGTTCCTTTTATTTTTCCACTTTTGACAGTGATGACAGAAACTAATTGTCTGTTCCACACAGTCCTGCAAAACTGAAGATGAAAGATTAAAAAGCCTGATACGAGACATAATGTGATTGCAACCTAAGCAATTTGAATGTTGGGGTCCAGGCACTGGACCTGTGGTAACATATCCTTGGATCTGTGGACTCCCTCAAGTACAAACACAAAGATCTTTGGCAGTTTATGTATTTCTACTAAAAGTCTAGGAGTAGACTTCCCTTTTTTTCTGCTTTTTTTCAAGAATTCTGAAGACTCTAAGACAGGTTTTCATAACACCTTTTAGGAGTGAAGGAGAAATGAGAGTGTGCATTAGCAGAAGCTGCTCTGAAGCAGTGTCTGTCAAGCAAGTCTCAAGTCTAATGTTTAAAATAATAATAATGTACGTGCAAGACTGTTTAAATGATTGTGGTGATTGTTGTTACTACTGGATCAATGCTACATCACACATAGTTTAAACAAATTACTGAACAGTAAACACACTTCTAGCTTTATATAATACACTTAACGGTGTGGAAAATTTCCCCGCAATTGTGCAGATATGTTATATGCACAAACAAACAGGGAATCACTGCATTGTTGAAATTGCTGTTCATTTGGATGGTGCTGTTTCCCTTTGAAGAGCCACCCAGATGATGCTGATTTTCTTTCAAGGCAGGTGGGAGATGACAGAGAGCACAAGGGACAGAAGACACCAGTGCTCTGCAGCAGCATGGCCAAGACAAGGGATCCTGGCCCAAATACATACATGGGTATAAACTCAGCCCTTTGAAATCCAGCTTCAAGAAATATTTCTGAAGGTAAGAATAATCTTCTTATTGTATTCCTCAGCAAGATCACCCCTGGCATGCTAATTATGTCTGTGGCTATTTCCAAATACTTACCTGCTAGGAACTGTGCACAAACATCCCCTTCTCTCTTTTACCTCTGCACATACCTTTAAGTTGTGTATGCCATGTAAATTCATCTCCAGATGGTAGTGGTATTTGGACAGAAGGTTTGGGCCCCAGTGTGGCAAATCACATAGTCACATGCCTACATTGACTTTTGTGAGACTATCTACATGCTTAAAATGCAATAAATCTGTTAAGTGCTTTTACTGGATAGGGAATGCTGCATATATCATACCATTACCAACTCCTAAACTATCCAGTTTCACTTAGGCATCCAGTTTGCTCATGCAGTCAGTGTTTTAGACTGGGTGATGGGATTACAGTAGTCATCACAATGTATGTAACAGGTGATACATTATTAAATCCCAGAGCTTTGACATTTAATTTTCTGGAAGCAGTTTCAGGTCCACAGTGCTCTGGAGTACAGTCAGGGCTGGCTTCCTGATGGTTTGGAAACTCTCAGCTGGAATGCTCTGATTTAATGACTGAATATTTTCCCCCTTAACCTATTACCATAAGTTCAAATACAATAAAATCTTGAAATGTTGAACCGGATGGTAGTTGCAGCACAATATTAATAGTCCTGATCAAAAATGCTGCATTTTAAGCAAGTGTGACATCCCAAATAAATAATTAAAAAATATATCCATAGGTATGAGTGTATGCCTTATCCGTGCACAGATATTACTCACCAGATTGCAACTATCTTCAAAGAAACTTTTTGAAATTTTAGCTTTTGTGTGGCTTATAGTTACATGTGATGATGCAGTGGCAAAACTACACAAAAAATATGTATCACCAGCAGCAAATGGACTCAATATTCCAGTTTGATTCCAGCAATACTTCATCTTTACATGGACTTCTATAGTTTTTACCTAGACTCTCAATAGAATTCTACCTTCAGACCCAGATTTTCTTCATCTGTACTATTCCAACTGAAAGACATACTAAACCACCTACTTTTCAGCCGTTAGAGCTATTTAAATTCAATAGGCATGCAATATCTTCATTTTTTCCCCTACATTTATAGGCCATTTTTATTTTCCAGTGAACTGCTTATTTTAGCTGTGTAGGAAATAATATAATCAAGATCAGACGCTCCAAAACATTAAAGAAAAATTATTTCTATCATATTCCTTTATGGGCTTTGATTAACGTAGAAAATTTAGTAACTAGTAAATAAGAAGTCTGAATATTTTAGAAAAATTTGTTTTCAGATACAGAGAATTAAAGCAATATGGAAAAGGTGAGAAAAACACTGAACTGTAAACTATTTTGTTAGTGTCCCACACAAGAAGACATTCAATGTCCTGTCAACCTTGCTGTTGTTAGGATAATTTAATGAAGTTGTGCTTCTGTGGCTCTGTTTCACTGCTATGTTTTCAGAAGCCTAGAAACTTTAAAAGTGGAGTTGTGACAGGCAAAGAGAAAAACACCAAGGCTACTAAAAAAGACTATTTTATCATGTTATAAATGTTAAACCTGAGTTACTGAGTAACTGATGTAACTCACTGAACAGGTAAAGAAGTCTCAGAAAATTCTTCTTTGAGAGGGAAAACTTGCACATAATGGTCTCCTTTGATTCGAAAGGCCAGTCAAAGGAAAAAAGAAAGGAGAAAAAAAAAAGAGGAAAAAGAGCTGAAACCTATGAAGTCACAGTAGTAACTCAGAAGCAAAGGTGACACATGCAGGCACAGACGGGAACAGTGAGCTAAAAAACTTGCACTTACCAGGGCCATATTTTGTAATACTTGATAAACCAACTTGTGTGCTGACTGTTAATGAATTAATTATTTTTAAATGACAAGGTCAGTGGGTAGTGATAAGACGTTTAATAGACGAATTTGACTAATTCATACAGCTGGGAAAAGTAGACAACCTTTTCAGATCTGAACAAACCCTTATATGTTGAAATCTTACAGTTTTGCAGCTATTCTGTAGGGTTTAACGACAATATTTCCTTCACTTGTAAAGTTTATCTTGAGTATTCCCTTAGACTACTATGGTTAAAATAGCACCATTATAAATGTTTTATGATTCTTTTTCTATGTAAAGTGTTACATTATGACTAGTGATTCCAAACACCTTAAACTCCTTTTTCTGTATGTGTGAGACCCTATGGGACTGGTAGATGCCACGTGATAGTGGGAAAAGAAAGGGCAGTCCTTCAATCCACAGTTTGGGAATGTGCAGCCCAGCCCTCCTCCAATGAAAGATGTTCTCTTCTTTCCTGTGTCATGGATTCTGTTGTAGATTAGCAGATCATGGAGTAGGATCACAAAACAGACCTCCACAGGGCTGCAAATAAATAAATAAAAGGCCAATTTGGGCTGGGAAAACAAGATGGGAGCTAATCCCAGGTGTGAGGAAGTGTATCTTAAATGTTATAGGTTCATCAGATCTCTGAATAATAAGAATATTGTAGCCATAAAACCTCTGGTCCTAGTGAAATATTATCTTCACCCAATAAAGTGATAAGTGAAGTCTTGAGATAAGAGAAAGTGGTCGAGAAGAGAACATGATGCAGATAAATCTGCAGTGTGGTGAACACAAAAACTGTGATCATCTCTCAAGAACATTGGATTTTTCAACAGAATTATTTTTCACCAGTCTTCTGTATTAGCTGGCAAAGTCCTTATAATATTGCTTGATTACATCCTGCTACTAGAAATCTTGTAGATTAAGAGTGGACAACAAGCAGTCGTTCTCCTACCCTCTTGAAATGAGAGTGGATCCCTAGCAAGCACAAAGTTCTTCTTGGCACCCATAGTGAGACCAGCACTGAGCTCTTTCAGGACTGAACATCCTTCTTGGGGCTCTCTTGGAAGCGGGAATTTTGAGAAGTGAAGACATATTCCTGAAACATATAGCTCTTTTAAAAACAAGTTTAGTAATTTCCAGTGATGCACACTGTGAATTCACTTGTTTGCAAGAATATGTACAAAGGTTAATTCAAAAGTAGTTTTCCTCCAAAAGGACCTTTTATGTATCTTTCCTGACTGTAACAGCTGCAGAAGTGAGTGCCTGATCAGACATCTGTAGATAGGATAAAAATCAATAGTTATCCCCGAGTCATCAGTAAGTCAGTCTATTTTGGTCATTAACTTACAGTTGCCATGAATTCACACACAGTGTCAGATCCCCAAAGCCTGCCACAGTCATTCTAAGTACCAGAGGACTACATTTTTTTAAAAACTACTTTTGTCTCCACACACTTGGTTCATCTATGTACAAATCATCATAAAAAAATCCAGTGGCACAGTAATGAAGAATATTTTTTTCAGTGGATCCCTCCTCTACAAGCTCTAACCTTTCAAAGAGTGGTGCAGATCTTCCTCTTATATTCGCTTGACACTGGTGCAATTCCGAAACAAAGCCACTTCTGAGTTGTACTTTCACAAAGGAAGTGAAATCAGGCCCATCTATTGCAATCAATAAAATCTGTGCATAGATAATACATTTTTCTTGGGAGAAGACCCTCCCTTCAAAAACTTGACTGGAGTGTGTTCTCAATGACATTGACATCCCATTCTGCCACTCTGACTTCCACGTTTGTGCACCACTGGAGATGCTTCTGGGAGTTCCCACTCATCCGGATGTAGAGAAAGGGATTAATGTTGCTGCTGGTAGAGCTGAGGCAGATGGAGATGTAGTAGCTCATGCAGAAGGTCAGGGCTGGCTGAGAAACCTGAAGATTCATGAACTGGATGACATGGAATGGGGCAATGCTTACTGCAGACATCATGATCAGGGCAAGCACTGTCGTAGTGAGCCTCATGACTCTCTGCCTGGGGATACTGGTGGTGTAATTACAAAACAAGGGAGGATCCCTAGCATGGAAAGCCAAAGTGGGATAATGATGGCATGGACTGAGTGTACTAATGAATGGCAGTTATTTGAGACCAAATTCACCTACACTGCAAGCAAAGTCCATCTCTCAACGGCTTTATTTCTTTGTTGTTCGCACCTTATTGTTCTGCTTAGGCTGAATTTGATCCTATGCCACACACATACATGAGCCACTGAGAGTTGTTTACATATGTCTGATGAAATACTGACAATTATTTTCATTAAAAATGCTTACTTTTTTTCAACATGAGAGCTATATAGTTTTGCATCCCTTTTTATCTATGACTATATTTTTTTTTTTTTGCTAACAGCTGGAACAGAAATATCCAGTTAAAACATTACTATTATGAGTTTAAAGGAGACTTAGATCAAAAAGGCATAGGAAGTAAAAAACACACTAAAATGGAAATCAAGTTCTTTTTTCACAGAAAACTGGTACAAGCTGAAATCCAAAGCACATAGTCCTAGAACTAAAATAAACTCATCAGGACATGCTATCACGGAAACTGGGAAATTGTATTTCATCCATTTCATGTGTCAAATTTTTTTATTGCCTGGACTTCCCCAGGCTGTGAACAGTGGCTAGGGATCCTTGTGGGGCCTGAAGTCTCCTTCCCACAGGAGGGCCAATGCAGTCTGGAGGTACCCGAACCAACTGCTCCCTGTTACATGGCAGCTGGCACCAGACCTGGCACCCACGTTCTCCTGGGGTTTCCTAATCCTTGAGCTGAGAGCTTGGAGCCCTCCTGCAGCCACAAGTGCAGGGCTGGTTTGGGGATTTTTTGTTGTGCTCAGAACAGCTGAGGACTTTAGCCATAACTTTCTCCACAGTGTTTCTTTCTTATTTTGGATTATTTTTCTCCCTCCCCTGAATCCCATCTATAGTCTCTTTCCTGGGAACATAATGCAATGCCCAAAGCACTGAAAGTTAGATGATTCAGTGCCTAAATGTTGTTTTAGGACTGTTCCTTCTGGACTGTTACATATAAAACCTTTACAGTCTGTGCAGAGCATGTGAAATAGGAGGAGACATGACTAACACTTTACCTTCTTGCTTTCTTGTTTTGCTGATACATGTTCCACATGTAACATAAAATAAAAATATAACAAGTAAGTATCAGAGGTAGAGGAAAAAAGAAAGTTGTTATAGTAAGATAAAGTGTATACCTGTAAAACAAACAAGGTGATTACACAAAGACCATCTCATAACTGTAAAAAAATATAAATGACATTTTTCATAAAGTGGTCACTGATTTGCAATTCTTGATTAGAGATACATCGATCCTGTTTTAGGTAGCAGCAAGCACCTAGAACTGCAAGTACATTTAAGTATTGAAGTCTGTGTTCAGCACTTCTAGGAATACTGTTGACTACAAGAAGATAACTACAAAATATACCTCTCAGCTGTCCAAATTCTGTAGGTATGTGCTTTTTCCATCACCTGTATAATTAGTGAAAATTCTTGTAAAAGTTATGCAGGACACAGTCTAATTAGTCATCTGATATTTTGCTACTCTGATAGTAGACCAGTGATGACCACCTCCTGAGCACAGATTTTTCAAACATTCTTGTGTCATTAGTGTAATCTAATCTACACCATCTTTCTTAGTTGCTGGTATTTTGTTATAATTCAAGTTACTTTGTTTCTATTTATTCTTTATCAAGTGGAAAACTTCTATCAAAGAAGGAAATTACATTGGTTTGCTATAATTTGTTCCTGACAAATAGAGGTTTTTTTATCACTTTACAGATTGAGACTTTAATAATCTGTTAAACTTTCTGGTTATTGAAGTTCATTGGTTTTTACTTTATCTACCAGAGTCTCCTTTTACTTGTCTTCATACTTTTCTGTGTTAAATCATCTAATGTGAAATTAAACAAGCCTCTGCCAACTGATCAGTCCATCTGAGAGAGGATGGACTAGACTGAATTCCCCAAATTGTTTCAAACTTGTTTTTCTCATATTTTTTTTCTGATAAATTCAGGCTATTGGGGGGTCTCATGTCCTTCACAAGTTATTGAAAATAATCAGTAATATTTCAGGAATTGTTTTCACTAATAATTTAATTCTTCAGCAGTGAATTTCAACAAGCTTTGCTGATATTAAAATATTTAACTTCTGTACTGTTACACATTTTGTCTCTTTTTCTGGTGCTCCAGAGTTAATTAATTCCATTAAAAATCTGGTTGCAATTGAATTGGAGGGGGGCAGGGGAAAGGGAGGCTGGAACAGAAATGATTCAAATACACTCTTTTAGGTTTTGTCTGCATTAATAGGTAGTACAAATGAGTAGTGAAAATCTGCAGAGTGAATTGCTTGGTGCTTAGGACATGACACATTATGCTCATGTTAGGGTGTTTAACTTCAAATTTTCTCTAATTGGAACCTGTGGATGGAGGACACAACAGTGGTTGGAGTCCTTTCATTGAGTGCCTGGAACACTTCTTCCAGTCTTAGTTCAGAATACAGATTATGTGCTCTGAGACTGCTGAACTCAACTGTGGTAACTGGAGACAAATGGAATACTCACTCCAAAAATACCTTCCTTATCCAGATGAACATGTTAATACAAAAACACCTGGTATCAGCCAAAATTTGCTCTCTGTTACACAAGTTTATAGAATTTTCTTTTATGTCCCTTGCTAGTCATCACTCAACAAGCTAGTTTGAATTCAACAAATAGGCAGAAATCTGCTTGGCCAAGAGATACTGGAAAGTCATGTATGCAGTTTGAGGAGTGTTTAATCTTTTCTGTGATCTATATGTTCCAAACATGGTAGTCTGACAGGTCAGAAAGAGCAATGACATTCCATCTGCGACCAACAGTTAATCTAAATGCTACAAGAGAAGATAAAGAGAAACAAGAGGTCCTTCACTGTTACATTTGCTATGTGGAAGCCATCTTGCTGAACTTGATTGTGCTGGGACTGCCTCTATATTACCAATACAATCTGAGATGCAGTGATTTGAACGAAATAAGCCTCAGCTTTAGCCTTTAATTTTATTCCATCCATGCATCCATCCATCCATCCGTCTGCCTGTCATGCATGTCAAAGACAAAATAGGTGGTATCCTCAACACCAGCTGAAGACATGAGCTTTGAAAGCTTACCAGAGAACATCATCAGGTGAGGTTAGATCAAAAGTGCAACTCTTCAAACCACCTTTGAACTTTATTACTTTTGAGTAGACCCACACAGGGAACATCAGAATAAGTGATGTAACCTATAAACATAAATTGGCTTGAAATGTCTTTGATCATGTTCTCAGGTGGGTTAGACCAATTGGCTGGACAAGAGTAAGGTACCTGTAAAAGCAGGTAACAGAGCAATATAGTAGAAAAATAATATAATCACATGAGACAACCAGAAACCAGCACCATCCGATGTCACTTTGGTGTTGCACAGGCCATCTGCCACAGATGCAGTTCTTGGGTGATGATTCTCATCACATTGCTGCCATCTTAAAGATATGATCTGTTATGGTGCTCTGATATGCGGTGAGAGGTCTACCACGGAGGTTCTAGCCCTGCATCTGTACCCAGAGTGTGGGTGATGAGACACATAGTTCTGCCTTGGCCTCACATCCACCAACTCACTCCCTACAACAGGGAAAAGGACAGGTGCAAGAACCCAACCTTTGGCAGCAGGAGATGGTAAGTGGGTGAGGAAATATAATGCTGGAGAGAAATTGGGGAGATGTAACTTATGGAGAAAATTCAGTTCATCCATTTATCAGTTCATAATTCTGCAATTAATAACAAGCAATACAGTTAAATGAAAGCTCTGAAAGTCAACATTTTACACAAAAAGGCCTTTTTTTTTTTTTTTTAGAAAATATCTGTTTTATGACCAGCCTCTACAAAATGGATCATTCTGTCCTCTTCAACTTTTTCATGTAAAATGCTGGAAGAGTTTTAGGTAGTAGCAATGAAACACAGCTCTCTCATGGGAGTTAGTCTGACTCACTTTCTTTTAAAGAGATTGAAAACTCTGAATCATAGTCATAGAAATCTTTTAGAAACTGTAATTTTCTGAAATTAACTGAAAATGAGTGATTTACTAGCTGTTATGCGAAAGACAAATTATTAGGAACTTAAACAACACTTGGAAATAATTTTCTTAGTGACTGATTATTAGTCTTCATGTCAGAGTACTGAATACAAGTTGAAAGAATAAAACGGAGAAATATTTAATTACTGGTCAAATTTTCACCGAATTTTAGTGCTTACAGAGCAGAAAGAAATGACAGCCCAACAAAAAAAACCCAATCCAATTTAGTGTCATATGAATGTTAAGATTGTTTCAGGTACTGTCTAAGAAGGCACCCTTATTCTAATGGATGATCATCTACACATGGAATTCTACAGCACTTGTGTTCAGCTGTATAAGAAAGCTGATTTAGAAAGTACATTATTCTTGCAGAAACTAGTATTTTTTGTGTGTTCTGAACAAGGGCCGTTAAATAGGTATTAACATAAGAGACTAATTCTCTATCACTCTTAACATACCTTAGCTAGAAATGACTCTGTAAGTGAACTGTAGCCATACTTGTATAATTTATACCCTGTAAATATTTGATACAAGTCAGAGGATCCTTGTCTGTAGGTGCTGACAACATGTTGCCTGCAAGACCCTGGGATGTCACTCAAGGTCCTGTACTTGTTTTTCACAGATCAGGTTCACCAACCTGTCAGAACAAGATGCCTGCAACACCTCGGTTGCTTGGTATTGTTGTCCTTGGGCCAATGAAGATCAGTAACCATTGCGTAAGATCAAGAAAGATTCATATTTTGTGTGTTAATAAATTATTTTCAGTCTTGCTTGATTATGAGTATGAAATAAATGTCTTCCATTATTCAAGCTTTGCAACCATCAAGTTGTTTTCACTAAATGAAGTTAAAGTAATGACCATTATTGCTAGAATCAGCAAAAGGCTCTTGTGGCATATGATATCTTAAAAAGCTATGTCTAATTTCATGCGGTTATTCTCAATCCTCATGATGATGACGACAGAAAGAACAGAAATCCTCTACATTTGCAATGGTAGAACTACTTTGTACCCTTCTTGGTACAGCTACCTCTCCTGTTTCACTGGCTGCCTCAGGGAAATAGCTTCTGACACTGATACCGCTTACAGGATCTGTGCAATTGAGAGTAATTTACAGGCTTCTCAGGTTCTTAAAACTTGTGATTACTCCTGCTTTACGCAGAATTTGACCTCAGGCTCCATGCAAGCATGGTGTACTACTTCGAGCTTGCTTTCACTTTTTAAGTGGTGGAAACAACATCTCTATCCAACTCTTTAAAATAAGCAGCAATTTTTCCAAAGAATGAACGCTGAAGAAAGTTACAATGGACATTACAAAACCCCCCAGAAAATAAACTGTTTACGAGAGAAAATATTTGTGAGAAAATGAAAGTGTATAAGGTGGAAATAGGATGTGTGTGGGAAGCGCAGAAAAGCGACATTAGTAGCTGACAGAACAGTGACATTAGTAGCTGACATGGAATAAGTGCACCTAACCAGGCCCCTCTCTTCCCGCTGGCTGCAAGAAAGATGACAGGACACAATATTCCATCCTGTGCTGTGCTCTCCGTACTTGCTGTGAACCACTCTTAGACATACCTGCTACCTGCCATTAATGAGAGACTGAACTTTAGCTGGTTCATACAGTTGGGTGATACAAAAACTCCTTAATGCTGATATCTGCTTCTCCTTAGCAGGAAGGTTTCAGTGAGATCTCCCTTTTGTTATCAATATGCTTAACTTCACAAGGTACTAACCATAAAAACATTGGTTATTTGGTCTTTTACTGAGTGTATAAGAGTGCATTGCACAAAGGTTTTTGAGACAGGTTCACATGCACAGATAGTTATCAGCAGGGTATGTAGCTGACTGCATGTAGTTAGTTTAAGGGAAAAAATCAAAATGAGAGAGAATGGAAGAGAAGGAATGGGGAGGCTCCAGGCGAGCATCCTTCTCTGGGTCTCTTATCCAGTGCAGTATGTGGTTCCCCCACTAATGCTTTTTCCCCAGTATTGACAGTTTTCATCAGGACTCACTTCTTGCCAGTTGCTCTGCCGATGAAGCTGTTGATGTTGTTGAGAGCACGCTTTGCTGAGGCTGCATGCTGACTTGCTGTGAAGTTTGGGGCATGCATGTTTTTGGGTCCACTAATGTCAACCAGAAGCTTTGACCATGGGGTAGGAAAAGGGAGGGTAAGAAGGGGTGATTCTCACGCTGGTGTCAGTCGCTTCCCATGAGAACCCCCTGTAACAGCGCTGTTGGGTTTGCAGGTGCAGGGCCGGGAGGATAACAGTGCAAGATCTGCAGCGTGGGAACAAGGAGAAAGTGCTGCCCCAGAGACTCTGGGAAAGGCTGCCACGGTAGCTTGGGTGACAGGGTGCAGAGCTGCCAGCAGAAAGCCAGCTACAGAGCTTCAGACAGAAGGCTGTTAGCGATGCAAAAGGCTGAGGCTCTTAAGGCACCATGTGATGTGTGGCTTAACAGATGATATTGCCTTTGCTCAAAGGACCAGAGCCCAGCGCAGCTCGAAACTTATCATCGGTGAATGTAACTCATTTTGATAGCAGCTGCAGTCTAGCAGTTATCAGACTAGTGGTTTGTAATACAACTGTGTTAATAGACATTGAAGATCATTAAGGGAAAGAATGGCATGTGCAATGGAGCCTGGGATGGGTACTGAATCCATGTCTTCCAGCTCCAGAGGTGCCCATCACTTCCTACATGTTGGCTGACCCTGACTCTTTTTGTTGTGTGGACACTGTTTTCCTGGATACACCGCTGAATTTTCATAGTATTCTCACAAAAGTATAGGGCAGGTTAGTAATGATGCCTTAAAATCTGGCGTGTATGTAAGTGTATTTTCCTAAGTATTGTAAAATAACTTTTTGCACTTTCTGGATCAATTATTTTGCTGGACATTTTAATATACTGTTATGTGACTATAAAGGATAATTTCCCTAGGTTTCTAATTCTCATTTTTAACAATCTGAGCAAAGGGAAAAAAGTAATCTAATGAACTTAAAGATGAAAAGGAAATCACTAGGCTAGGTGGAATGAAAACATCACCAAAAATTCAATTGCATGTAAATGTAAATGTAAATTATTCTTTTTCTTGATAGAACTCAAACTTAGTCCAGCCTGATGGTATTCTGATTTATCCCTCCCCAGACAATAAGAAATTAATCTTACCCTAAACACTTACCAAGCAGCTTTGTCTCTCTTCTTTTGCAGCAGTGGGTTTCTATTGGTTGTTTCAGTTTGGATGTAATTTTCAATCTTGTCTGTTGTCCGATGATAAATCTGTGAAATAAAATGTAAGTGGTGCATTTGGGAAAACACGCTCTTTTGAAAATAAGGGGTATTTCCACTTCAAAGAGAGTGGAACTTAAAGGCAAACATGTGCCCTCATCTGACAAAGTAATTATCAGTAATAGAAGTGTTTTGCTGGAATAAGTCTGAAGAATACTTACCTGAAACAAATGATAATGGGAGTATTTGACACAGAGAAGGGGCAGTGATGGACCCTGCAGAACTCCCAAAAAGTGAAAGGCACCTGGTATGCGGTGCTTGTTATCCATGCTTATTACATTTCTTTTTACCTTTCTGCCAAACTTGTGCTTACAATACTGACTGGAGGAACATCTGTGAGACCAACCATCCCCAAAGTATATGGTATGATCATGAAAACCAAGGTGACACTTTGAAACAGAAAATATTTCATGACATCATGCATTCTTAGTTAATGTTGTAGCTAACTGAATGTCATCTTCTCGGATTTTTAGCAAAGCCATAAACATGTGGTCATACTTCTGTGATGTATATAGGACAGGGAAAGGGGAAACGTGTCTTAGATGTTTCCTCTCTCCTTGTCCTCACTTTTTTCCTTCCTTCCTCTGGGCATAGCTTAACCTATCATTTTTGAGGTCCTATGGTCTAACATTATTACTGCGTATTGCATATTGTCACAATATAGTATACTGATGCTATTATTATTATTATTATTACTAATTAGTACAAATTATCTGATTAATGCTAATTATTAATATATTATCTGTATTGGTTTAAAATGTACTGCTGTTAGCATTGCCCCAAGAGGCAGCAAAGTGTACAACACTTCAAAGGCAAATGGGCTGCTCAGCGGTCTGAGGATTTTTTTACCTTTTCCTCTGGCTAGGGTGTTTGTGACTGCATGTGAAGTGAAGCGAGAAGCGACAGTAAAAGGAGTGTGAAGAATGAGTAAATGGATTAGTCCATGGCAAATCAAGTAGTTATGGTTTTAAATAACTGAAAGCCCATGACTTTCATAGAGATATGGCCCCACCCTACCAGTGATACTCCCTTGGTAAATATTTCTTAGAGCAACATTACAACAGTGGGCGAACCAGGAACACATTTCTCATGCCTGTCAGTCTCGGCTGCTGCACACATTGGAACACCTGCCTGTTTCTTCTCAGCCATCACAGAGCTACTTACTCCAGATTTATCTTCCCAGCTTCACTTCTCCATTTATGTGCCTGAAGCCTTAAGGGGATAGGCTAAATAAATGTTTATGCAGCCCTCAAAATTGACTGGTACTCTATGTAACTCTCAGACTTCAGGAACTTGCTCAGGAACTTTTCCTATGCACAGAGACACTTTGCAAACAGGATATTCACAAAAAGCAATTATTTACTGGATATTACACTAGACAACAGACAGCTAGGACTGGCAAGCTTCCAGGCTAAGTATTAGTATTCTTACCATATGGCACCCTTGAGTCTTTGCTGGACAGCTGTCAATGAGAGTGAAGGGGCATCTTCAGAATCCTTGATTTTCATTAGTATTTTATACCTCCTCGTGCCAGCGTTTCTCTTCTTGAACCCTTGAGCTGCTGTCACCACCACAGAAATCTTGCCTCTGGCTTCAATCTATCTTACCTTTCTTAGTACACATGGTTCTACTCTAGGTACTTTTGCACAGTTTAGCATTTAGCAAGTTTCTCAGGAGGCTGAGACAAGATTATACAGCTGTACCATACCAAAAGCATGCCTTGGATCACAGGCAACTGAACCCTACCAAGTAGATCACACCTTTTCATATAAATAAAATTATAAGAAACATGTGCACTGTGTCAGAAGCGACCCAAAACAGTGGTGTTTTCTTGTGACATGCTCCAGTGGATTCATGCTACAGGGAATGAGGTGTACCTCACAGCCTCCTGTCACAGAAAGAAGGTCTGGCATAGCCTTTACCAGCTGCGTCTTGTGTGCCATGAAGGAATAAGGAATGATATTTCTGAATCTGCATCAGTTATTTTGAACCTGTAAGTCTTGGCTCTTTTTTAAAAATGTCATAGCCCAAAGGGTTCCTTTGTCATTTTAAAGAAGTCACTATCATTTCTAATTGCAATGTGCATCTTCAATTTAAGTCAAGTGGTTTACTGCAATGTTCTAAGTAAAAATGTTAGTGCAGGATGTCACACTGGACCTCCTTTGAGCCCATCTCACCATCTCTCCTGTCTCACCAGAGACTGAAGAGTGTATCAATACTTGAGCTTGAGGGGCATACACAGTTCTGATTTCACTTAGGCCAGATTTGCATAGTGATATTCTTGTTGAACAGTCAGATTCACTTTTCATGTACGTGGGGGTAAATTATATTAGGATTGCTGTCTGTGTGTGTATATGTGCATCCTTGTCCAGAAAACAGGTGCTGTGAATTGCTTCTTACAAAATTTTCTTTTAACCAATATACAAAAGTTCTGCTACCAAAGTTTCATCCAGGTTTAATTTATCTAATGTCTGCCTGTGGCATAAACATGAATCTGTATTAAAAAAATGTGTTTGATGTCAGTTTAGGAAACTTTCTCATAAATTTTAATATGGATACTCAACTTGCATATTTTTCACAGCTTTTCTTAATGATTTTTTTTTTTCATATTAAAGTGAGTAATGAAAAGCAAACTTTTATACATTGTACCCCTCATAAATTGACCCCTAAAGCTCCATGGAGAGAACAGCTGTTTTTGCCACTTCTTAAGATCATACAAATAAATTCGATTTGCAAAAAAAAAATGCTGAAATACTAAAGTCTCTGTTGGACCATTGCGTGACATAGTTCACTCCTATTCTGAAACAGAGGATTTCTGGGAATAAAAATATTATCCAGCAATACAACAGATATTAATTTGCATGTGGTAGTCATTTTGTTCAGCTGAGGCTTCTTCTGGAAGTGCCTTACCAGGTCTGACCTGCTTTTGTTTTCCTTTAGAAGTGCTTTTATTTTTGAGAAATGTAAAAGAGAACATGAAGCTGTCCGATGTTGCATTAGTCATAGCATTTACTAAGGTGTAGTTACATTTGTTGCTTTTATTGTAAATGTGGGATGGTTTTACAGTCAAAGTCTGATAAACTCTGCTGATTTTTTGCAAAATAGCTGGTTTAATTATTTTGCTTAATGAAAGCTCCCAGGTAGATTCAGAGGTGCTTTACTGAAACTATCAAACACTGAACAGGGAGATTGTTGTCTGAAAAACCTTTGTCTCTTTTGGCTGTACTGTCATAACTGGTATTAGTAGTGATAAAACAAATTGGAGACAAGGAATTTGAAGAGCTTTCCGTATCAAGTGTATTTGGGATGGAAAATCTTGCTTCAAAATAGAAAAGTAAACACAGGCTTACTCTCAGTTATTTGGAAAAACCCAAACATCTGTCTTAAGATATGGCTTTACTTGGGACATAAACTATTTTTATATCAGGTTTTGATATTCTGTCTTTCCTCGTTAGGATGTCATGTCTTTTTCCTGACTTTAATACTTACTGTCTTTTGTGTAAAAATTTTTCTCTAAACAGCAAGATTAAAGATACAGCTATATGTAAATTCTTTAGAAATATAGGAAAAGACTGTCATTTGTCACATTACTCATATGCAAGTATAAGAACAGAGATTTAAAAATTGAACTTCAAAGGAATGATTTCTTGACTCTTTTAACTGCGTGTCAACCAAGTAAGACTACTAATGTCATGCATTAGTGTAGCCTCTCTCTGACAGCCATACTTTATTAATTTCAAAATTATTTATAACTTTCTATTTTCTACTGTCTGCTTTCTGTTTTCTGATATTTTTTCTCTCCCTCTCTGTAGCGACTACATTCCACTTCCATGGAAGCATGCTGTTTCATAGGCTACAAGATCAGTAGAAACTGTCCTTCCCATTTGCTCTGTTTGTTTATCCTAGAGTCTTAATGATTGACCAGTGCTTTGTGCAATGCAGGAGAGAGAGCCTGTCTTTTTGTTTTCCTTCATGCTCTCTCTGACATATGAAAGAAGACTTCTCTGGTCCAAAGTAGCTGTTTCTTTCCCGAATTTGGTCACTATTTCCTTAAGATCAAGAACATGTAGAAGCTAGTTCTGAAATCTGTAGTTATGATAAAAGCTAAAATTCTCATGGTACTCTTACTGCATTTTAATGAAGGTTTTAAAAAATAGCAGATACAGTAGGTCTCTGCAGTCTGCTTGGAAAATAATTTTTTATCTTAAACAAGAATGATTAAAACAAATCTAGTTTTAGTGATGTTAAGTCTTTACTAGAAGCTGCATATCTAAAGATAAGCCCCAGAACAGTAACACTGGTGGTGACTAGCATCCCTTAAGGCTTTTTGCATAGCATGATGCTACAGCAGGGCTTAAAATACTTCTGCTACCTCCACAAACATCAGAAAAAGATTCCTGCAGTTTTCAAAAAATCATTAACCATGACTGATGGCATTTCTCATTCTTAAATTATTAAAACTGTATAAACACTTTTAGATACTATTGTGCTGTGGTATAGGATGAAAATTTGAAACCACATACCTGTCCAAACATTGCAGTTATAATAACACTGCATGTAAACTGGTTGCATGTGTCCAGGGAGGTAATGATGGTATGAAGAGGTCTGATAAAAACCCACTTGCCTCCATGTGCCCATTGGTGAATGAGAAAGGGCATGCCAGTGATAGGAGACAAATCTGCTATAGCCAGATTGCAGATGCTGGTATCTGGGAGAGTTTTCTTCTGGGTTCTGATATAAATTGGAAGACATGAAGATGATTACTTGACATAGTTACTGTATTGTTTTCCAACTACACTGATAGAGGAGACCTCAAAACTGAACTGCACACAAATAAGTACACTGTCAGAAGTACTCTTTTAGAGTCAGGGGAAGTTTGTCAACCTAAAGATATTTCAGACTAGACATTTTAGGCTCAACAAAAATATTTTTCATAATTTTGCTTTCCAGTGAGTTTGAACGTGCTATTTATGTATTAACTTCAGCACAATTATCCATGTTCTCCTTTGAAAACTATAGAGTGTTCAAAATAAACACAGGTCTGATGGACACAGGAACTCTAGAAATATCAGCCTAGCATAAATAAGAGAGATCAGAGCTCCTCTGCAATGCAGGTGACCCAGGGCTCAATCTCACTTAAGGATGCAGACGGGACATTCCTGAATGCTCAAGATGAAGAGGGAACTGCTGAAAGAGGAATGATCCTCTGGGAAAAAAATAGCATGCAATTAAATATTTGAAGATAGTCTTACAAAATTTATACACACCTGAGTTAAAACTGTATGCAGAGTCTTCATCTAAGTACTGAGAGTTTGGCTTTGCCAGTTTCATAATGTCTATATTGCATAGCTTTTATGTGATATATATGCTCTTCTAGATTGCTTTACCAAAATATATCTTAGTATACTCCCTGATTTAGGCTTGGAGGAATGTTATACATGCAGCTGAAAGAATTCATGACTTTATATTGCCTTATTGTGCACAAATCAAGGAAAGAAGCACAAAGCATCTTTGAAAAGCACTGATATTTATAAAATATTTTTTAATTACAGGATTTTATTAAAATGGTCCTTATCCACAGTTTCCATATAGAAATCACCTTACCTAAATTCACCTACAAATTACAGGTTTAGTCTAAGCTATTTATTTAGGCTCCCTCAGTATCTTTTATCTTTTTTTTTTTTTCTTTTTTTTTTTTTTTTAAATTTCAGTCTACTGCAAAGTATCAGTTTGTTTGTAAGACACAGAAGAACATGCAGCTGGGATAACTCCACCTGGCCACTCACAAACCACATTCAGAATTCTAACTATATGACCGCCATTTCCTAAAAAGACCTGTGTGAGAAGAGTTCCTAATTTCATATTTTTAATGTTGCCTTTATTGCATGCTACTAGCTATGAAACAACTTTGTTTCAAAGAAACAAATTTAAACTAAAGGGAATGAGCCAGACAAAAGTATTTTTTAAACATTTTTAGTAAGTTATGAATTATGATTCACTGTCATCTGGTTATGATACTGGAAGCAAAGCCAGACATCTATAAAGTATATCTGCTGGCATTAATGACTGGAGTTTGTGGAGAGAATGACGCATATGAGATCTTTTTCCTCCAGTGCCTTTAGCTTTGTGAACATTGAAGGATGTGAAATCTTCAGGAACAGTCCCAAACTGTGTTTCCTGCAAGGCATCAAATGGTACCATTATGCTCAAACACACAGGTTTTAAAGTGTCTGAAAGCTGTCATTTTATGAAAAAGCTAAAATGATTTTTTTTCTGCTTTATTTCAATCACATTAACAGGATAAATCATACTAAATTTGAAATTAATTTTGTATTCAGAATGAGAATCTCAAATTCTAAACTTGGACACTTTATGCTTGTTTTGGTTTAACCTCAGCTGGCAATGAAGCACCATGCAGCCGCTCTCTCACTCCCTGCCCCATCAGTACTGGGAGAACTGGAAGGGTAAAAGTGAGAAGACTCATGGATTGAGACAAGAACAGTTTAATAATTGAAATAATAAAATAAAATAAAATAAAATAAAATAAAATAAAATAAAATAAAATAAAATAAAATAAAATAAAATAATAAAAAAAACACAGAGAGAAATAAACTCCAAGAAAGACAAGTGCTGCGAATGAAAACAGTTGCTCACCACCAACTGACTGATGCCCAGCCAGTCCCCAAACTGCAGCCCCCCAGCCAGCCTTTCCCCTAGTTTATTGTTGATCATGATGTCACATGGTCTGGAATATCCCTTGGGTCAGTTTGGGTCAGCTGTCCCAGCTGTGTCCCTTCCCAACTGCTTGTGCACCCCCAGCCCACTTGCTGGTGGAGTGGTGCGAGAAGCAGAAAGGCCTTGACTCTGTCTAAGCACTGCTCAGCAATAACAAAAACATCTTTACATTATCAACACTGTTTTCAGCACAAATCCAGAACATAGCCCCATACTAGCTACTATGAAGAAAACTCTACCCCAGCCAAAACCAGCACAATGTTAAATTTGATCAACAAAGAATACACATTGAAAAGCTCTCCTATGATTCATGGAAAGGGAAGTGTAATATCCACTGTCTCATGCTTTACTGAAGTTCAGAAAATGATGCCTTTTAGATCAGTGTCCAGAGACACATGTATTTTCATACAGATTTTCATACAGTTTCCTGTGGTGGCTCAGAGCCACAATATTTAAATGGTAATTTATGAAGTAAACTTTATAATCTCAAATAATTCTGGTCATATTTTATAGTTTATAACTTTCTTATATTTTATTAAGGCAGAGATGCTTGCCTTCTGCTAAAACTATCACTTTACAACATTAAAAAAAAAAAAAAAAAGCCAGGAAAATAATAGTGACAGTCTCATTTTCAAACTTCTTTCTTTTCATCCTTTCAGTGTCTTCTATCTTCTTACCACAGATTTTAAAACTTCTCAGCAGTTTAAGCCACAGAATTTGTTGTTCAGTTTATCCTTCCACCCATGCCAGGTTAACTTCCATCTCTGAAACACCCTATGAAAAATGTACTAAAGCACAATTGCTGTTCTGCAAAACCTGTGAATATGTCAAATCTGTGGTTAGTCTTACCTTCTCTTCAATTCTACTTCTACAGATTAAACTGATTAAAAAATGATTTCAATGATCCAAATCCATTAAAAAAAGATGTGTTGAGCAGATATGACAATGTGATAATCCATATTCTGGCTGTCACTCCAGTAACAACTTCAAGGAACATGACAAGTGTATTATGTGTTGTCATCAGTCATTATTTATCCCCTCTGATTGCATTATGTGTTGTCATCAGAATTTATTTATACCCTCCTGGACAAAGAGACTTTATTAACTAGAAGCTTAAGTGTTAATTTGGAAGTGATCTTTGGAAGATGATATATAGGTATCATGCATTTAAAAACACAAGCACATACCTTTTCTTCAAATAGGAAAGGTAAAAATGGTATCCCTTCATCTGCAATGGCAAGTAGCACCAGCTTTAAAGTCATCCTCCCACCTAGGCCTGTCTTCCTCTACAAAATCTCACTGTTCCAAGCAAATCTGCTTGACTTGGAAGAAACTTTTTAAAATTTCCAACTCTGATGTGATCATAGTCCGCTTACTTTCTGCTCTCTTGTGGAGTTTACCTAGATCCTCAGTCCCTGAGAAGAGCAGGTCCAACAGCATCAGTCCTATACCTAACACTATCTTGTAGCCCTTTTGTGCTCGTAAGCATGCATTGTGCTCCCTCTTGGATCATTTCTGCATGTGTTATTTTCCCCTAGTGGCTGAAAAAACATCCCACTATTTATCAGGACAGACTTGCACTATCTTTTCACCTTTTAATTGCGGGTGGGATTCTTCTAAGCTAATCTTCTCAGTTAGAAATTTAGACCTCTACTGTCTCCAAGTGATCTTGGCTTCTGTAACCACTGCAGAGAAACAGAACTCTGTGGGAAATTTATCCTGTCTTAGATATGACAAAGATGATATGTATTACTCTCACGAGCGCCTCTTCGTGGAGAAACCCAGATGATTGGCTTGGGCAATCAAAGTTAGACTGACAAAAATTTGCTCTCATCTGTGCAATTGTATAAGGCCTATAAAATCTTGGGAGACTGAATCTTGCTCAGTACCCGTTGTGAAAAACTGCACAAAGAAATGGCAGCCATTTCTGTTCTTCATCTCTGCCTCTGTGCCTTCCCTAGTTTAACCATATCTAGCCATTAATACTTACAAGTAATTCAACTCTCTAATTTGTTGTTGGATAACAGTATTATCTAATGTTTAGCATTAGATTAGCAATAGCTATAGAATTTTGTCCAAGATATTCCTGGTCCAAAAATATATTACTGTTTAACTGAATCTCACAGTCAAGCCAGATAAAATCACTTAGAGACATGTATCAATTGCTGTGCCAAATGCCATCATGGGAAGTCCCACATTTCTAACATTAGCTCGTTTCTTATTTCTGAAACAGATCTAAACCAGAATCATAGAGATCAGAGTAAACTGACAGCATGCTGTCTTAGTGAGGAACAAAGAACAAAACAGATGAGGTATGTTGGGCACTGGGTATGTTGTTTAACGTGTTGGGATTTTTTTTGCTAGACTTGGAAAATCAGGAACCTTAGATTGAAAGAGACAACCCTTGTCACAGAACTGAGTCATTGGCTATCGCAGGCAACATGATCAGAAAAGACCTCATAACAGAGTAATTTAAGCTCAGAAATAATGATTTTTACTTCCACTGCTCCTGCTGAAGGCTATCACAGGACATCACTGTTCTGGAAGGTAAAAATCACTTTCCAGTTATCAGCGTTTAATACCTTCTGACTGCAGGCTACCCAATTGCTCTTGTATCAGTTTCAGCCCTTAATCAGTCCTCTATCCTTTCTGCTGTATTTGATCCTGATTTATAGAAAGCAAGCATACACCTCTGAGCCTTTTCTTTTAAAAACAAATTTAGGTGAATTTTCATAGTTCTCTATTCTTCTGGTTCTAATAATTGTTCTTTTCTGTTCTTATTCCAGTTTGAATATCTTCTCTTTCCTGGAAACAGCTGGTGAGAGTTGTATTTCAGGCCTTGTTATGAGCCTGGAGAATGGCATTAGCATTTCCCTCTTTCCTCCGGAAAGGCAGAGCCTTACATGTATTACAGCTGTGTGTGCTTCTCACGCAGCTTCAGCCTACTGACAGCCCACAGCAATCCCAGGAGTTTTTCCTCTGTTGTTTTCTAACTGACAGCAGTGCTTCCTACTTACAAAAATACCAATAAGAAAACAATTATATGGCTTTCTGCTATTAAATGTTACCACATTTCTATCGTTCTAGTTCCTCCTCTATTCCTTATCAGGTTCTTTCTGTATGTCAGTCTTATAGTCCTTCACATCAGCCACATGTCTCTAGTGTATGTCATTAAGAATACTATTAGCACACTCCTACACTTTGCTCCAGGTCTCAGGAAAAATATGAAATCTGGCTGGTCCCACAATAACTCCCTGAATGTTTCACATTAAGCTATTTTCTCCTGAAAATCTTTCCAGGAAAGTTGTTTCTTATCAACATCACCTAGAATTCATACTTTAGCTAATTTTTTCTCATGTTGTAATTGAACTCATGAGATTGTTCTTTAGCTGACTTAATATAAAATCTGATTATAAAATCTGATCACATATCTGATCTGGATAGACTAGCTGTATGTAGCAGTTTCAAAAAATTTCTGCTGGTAACTTTACATCCAGCAAAAACACTTTCTCCAGGTGAAGACTCAGAATGTAAGTAATAAGTGTTGTGACATTTATTTGCAATTTCTATTTTAGGAAATACTATTTTACCACTTGCTATTAGTTACCTTATTAAAACTCAATCTGAAAAGATGTAGTTATAGATAATTGAAATTCTATTTGATTCCCTTTTCTCTTCTGTAACATGTTCCTTCTTAAAAATATAAAGTCACACTAATGTAGCTAATTGGGTTTGTCTGGATCCCATTTTCCCCCTTCACAGAAACACACAGCCATTATCCCAGCAGCTGGTTCACTGAAGTCAGTAGGTTTACATAAAATATTTGCTCACAGAACTGCAGTTTAAGGACCAGCTATTCTAGGTTGCTAAAGATTATTGAGTACTTCTGGCTGACACTGAACTCTTGAAGGATTTTCTTCACCGTTTTCTTTACAGTTAAATAGCAACATATCTCAACTCTCTCTCTATTATTCCCTAGGGATGAAAATTGTTCACACAAGGGGGACCAGACAAAAGTCATTGAGTTAGTAAATTTTAAATTAAATCTCACTGCATAGGCATATACTACTATATCACTGCATAGCTGTGTATTACAAGCAAGGTTCCTTAGGACTTTTAGTTATTTTCTCCCAGTAAGTTGCAGATAATATCATTTTAATTCACACTTAAAAATGTTTGTCCCTACCTGGCAGACTTGCAGATGAAATTGGGGGTCTGAAATTCCAAGGTTCGTTCTTTATTACTTTCTACCATCAGTAAAGTGTTTGCTATTGGAAAATAAATAATTTTCTACTCAATTAGAGAGATAACCTAGCTTCTTTCTCTCTTAAAAGAATTGACACTGTAAAGCTAACAAAACTATAATGTATGAATAATTATGTTCAATAAAGAGAGAAACTCTGACGCAGAGACATTGAGTACAATTAGATCTGTTTAGTGGAAGGTGAGATTTTGGCATGGTTATTTTTCAAAATACAACTACTCTGTAAACGGACATTCATCTAAAGAATCTGAGGTTTGTGGCTATCTTTTTTTTGGTGTTGGTAACTACTGCATTAATTTTTTAACATGTTATTTCCAGACTATTTTCCTGTGTATAAATCTTCATGCCCATAAATTTGAATGCTTTTAATTTTCTCAAGCAAATATGGTTTAAATTATGTTCTTTTTTTCCCCCAAGTCATTGTCTGTGTCTATTCCCTTTGTCTCTCATATTTTTATTTGCATTAGACAAAGGCTTTTCACCAAGGAAAATAAAATCTTTGTTCCTTCCCAGTTTCCTTCCATTCTATTATTTTAGAGACTCTGTAATTAATTTTTAGAAATTAAATTATTGTTTTCCTTTCTATTCACTCATGTTTAAAAAGTCATATTGCCATTATATTCACTTCAGACATACTGTTTCCATGTTTGTTCCCTTCTGTGTTCAGACTAGGAGCTACAACATTGGATTTCTGGTAGTTTCAAGGGAAGTTTACTAAAGCTCAGGGGCTGACAGACACTTAGCCCTAGGCTGCCCTTTGGAAATCTTTCCTTTACAAGGACAGTATGAAAGGGTGGAGTCCATCTATTAATCCTTGTAGAGTGTGACACATACTAGCCTTATGCTGCCATATTTGTGTTAAATTTGCGTCACAGATAAAAGCCACTTTTTCAAGATACATGTTTATGGATTTAGAGTTCATGGTAGCATCAGACAGTTGAGAGCAAATTCTTTATTATGTGGAAAAAGAAACCTCCTGTAAAATTAAGAGACTAGAAGGTATTTTCTTGCGTAAAATAATTTTTTGAGAATTTTCAGATTTTATGACCCAAAAAACTTTATCAACTTCAGCAATCTTACCTTCTCGTATACAACAAAAATATCTTGAGGTATTAATTCCTGCCATGTGAGAATCCTTGACTGGTACTAAGACCCTGTTTTCATAAGTAAGGTGATGCTGGATAAAGCAATGAGTTTTAGGAAGCTGCTGCAAATGGGCAAAAGTTAGACAGAGTTCTGTTATTAAAATAATCTGAGATAGAAGTTTTCAAAGAAGAAAAAGACTATATTTCAACTGATCTTAAAATAATTCTATCTGACATATATATGCCTGGCTAGTATCGTAATTAAAGCTTAAAGTTTAGTCTAGCTTTTATGTGTGCTAGTGGGAAGATTTCTGCCAATTATAACAGAAACCAGGGAGGAAGGCATGTATTTAGGTTTCCTTGAATAAGTTAGAAGTCAATCAGGCACTTAAGTGCTTTCTCATAACAGAAAAGGCTAAGCAGGCATACATTACTGCTATCTATAGTCATGATTTAATTATTTTTTAATGAGAAGTAAATGTCAATGACTAAACAGAACATGAAAATCTTGCTTTCCCTGTCTTTGCTGGGCAATTCACTTCCTTAGTGCAGTCATAATTTATTTTTCAGCAGTAAGTCTTATTGAAAAATTTATTCAATTCCATACCTTATTACTGTGAACACTGTGAGGATATTTCCACCTAAGCCTGTTGAACAGATAACCCCAATCAGAGAGGGAAGGATGATTGTCTCTGCAGCACTGATCACCTGGTAGAGGTGCCACCCACTCCAAGAGCTGTTAAACAATCCTGGTGTTCTGTTCTGACAAGAAGGCTGAAATTCACTCATTCTTCAATGACTTTAGGACTTAGTTCTGTAGTAGCAAGAGAAAATAAATTATTCATAGACTATTAATTTGCATATCATTAGTTAAATCTGATATCTAAGTGTACATTTCTGTTTAGTATTTGTCTGAATTTCATAAAAACCTTTCATCAAAGGGTTTTGTACATTCAGGATTGTACATAACAGGATGATGTTTTCAAAATGAAATCTGTGATGTAATAACTCCATTATAATTTAAGTAAATTTGTAATCATCCAAGATACACCAGAAAGTTGAATACAGACATTCTTATAGCATGTCATCCTTATTAATAACTACATTTTGTCTAAGCTACATCTTTCACTATTGACTAGTAAGCCTATATATTTCTTTAAGGAGTTGCAATTACTGATAACATTTTCTCTTTTAAGAGTTGACAGCTGTAGTGTATTTTGTCCTGTTGCAGTAGCAAACATTACCCATACATTCTGCTTAAATGATCAGCTGAAGAGACTGCAAGCTGTCAGCACAGGGGCATCCACAGCACCCACAGCTGGCTCCTGAGTGTCCACCAAAAGCTGCCTCTCATGCCTCAGGTATGGTCGCAACATCTTGCCAGTAACCACTGGAGACCAAGACCTGTGAAGACACAAGCATAACCTCTTCCCCGGGTTATTAAAGTGTACGGTCCTTCCCAGTTACCACTTTCTAGGTTTTTTGCTAACACTTGAGCCTTGCCCTGGACTTCTTGATCTAGTATCTGTACGAGAAGTGATGCAATATTGGTTGCACCTGTGGGACAGGGGGAATGTTTAAAAAGTTCATGACATATAATGCCTTATTTAGCCTTTTGTGAGGTGTAGATTGATACCCTCCAAAATCCAGCTACCTCAGCGAAAAAAAATGCTCTTCACAAATATGCTTGAAACCATGCCTTACTAAGGCATTTATAAGACACATTAGAGGCATGTTAATTATATATATTATGGCAAAATCATGTACTTTTCAAGAATTAAAAAACAGGAAAACTTCAAATTGGTTCTGTTGGTATAACTTCCCATTCCTAACGAGTGATTGATCCAATGGTCATTTAACAGTAAAAAGCTACACTGGACCAAAATGAAAATTATGCCTTTTTAGTGCTTAGATTCTATGAAGTAAATGAATGTTATCTTATTTTTAAAAAGGACAGACGAGTGCTTTTTAGCCAATAAAAGATCATATTTCTTTCTGTATGAAAATGTAAGATCAGCACTTCATTAAAGAATTGGGAAAAGGATAATAATTTATTTTTGTAAGTAAATTTTGTGTCAGATAGACCATCTTTAAAGCTAATAAGCTCTTCTATTTTTCTAATTCTCTTGGTTTATTAAAGATCATTATTTTACTACTTCTCTCCAAAATGACTGACATCGATCATCCTTTAGATTTCAGCTGGGGAGTGGAAAAAAGCCATATAATTTAATTAACATCCTCCCTGAAAAGACAGACTATTCAAAAGTGTATCGTCAACTTTTTTTCAGTGATAGTGTAAAAGATACTCTCTGAAACTTCGAGATTTTAATACATATCTTCTGAGTCTGCACTTCCTCTGACAAGCTATTACCATACAAAAATGGAAGTCTGAGTCAATAAGGAAAACATCTTAGAACACCTAGCTACACAAGTGAAACCCATATAGTCAACATTGTGAAGATAAGCGATGGGATGTCCTCTCACAGGCCTTACTGATCTAGTTGCTTAACTCTTTCTTGTACCTCACTTCCTATAAACTTCCTATAAACACTTCCTATAAGCTCCTGCAAGTGCAGCAAGACCTCTGAAGGCTCTATAATTCAGGGTCACACGCTGAATTATGATACAATCCATCCTGTTGTTCCTCTGTGACATGGCAAGAAACCATCTGCAGTAAAATCAACAAAACTTATTACATGAAAAACTAGAATTGTGGGGGCAATTCAGACCAGTAATTTTTCATCACTTAAGGTCACAGAAATCAGCTGCACATAAATTCACCGTGACAGTTAATTTTATTTAAAAAAAACCCCACACCCCAAAACCTGCAAAAATAAATTGGTTCCCTGGTTGTGTCAGTACCAAAGAACAGATATTTAGGACATGGAGTAGGGCTTCTTCTTGAGGTCTGGATCAAAGTGGTTAACGAAACTGAGTGCAGATCTGAACAGAACAGTTGTGACTCTTAATGAGGGTCTTTAAGATTTCTCTTGTATATATTAAACAGTTAAACTATTGAAATGTTTATACAAGTTGTCCAATTTAACTTCTTGTATATAGATGTGTTTCTTATTAAATATTTTATCTGTTACTAGGGAGTTCAGACACTTAAAACAGATGGAATTTGTAGTATGAATTTATTCCTCCTCATAACTGCCAGGGAATATTATAGGAATGAGTCCATACTAACCCTGATTTATTTTTAGTAACACTACACACTTTTACTAGAGGCAAAATCAGTCAAGAGGAGTGGTTTCTTTTATCTCTAATTTATGCGTTCTGAAGGAATAATTCTTGGCAATAGCTTAATCAAATAGCAAAAAAAGAAATCACCTTTTCATTCAATTCTATCCAGTTCTAGACTGACTCCTACATGGAAGAAGTCAGGTGTAGAATTCAACTACTGCTTGACTTAGTTTCGGTGTCATTTACAATGATTCTCACTTTCTCTGGTGCTTTTGACATGCTCAGATTTTGTCTGAAGGCATGCTCACATCTTGCATTGCAAGGTTCTGCAGTTTGGTACCAATTTTAGCATTAACTTGCAATGATTTGAGTCAGAAGCTTATCTTTTTTGATTAGGGGAAGGCATCTTTTGTCTCATTGCTTTTGATCCTTTGTCTTGCCCTTTTTCCCACTGCCTATATTCTAGAAAAACTAGATGTGGATTTAATTCTTGCTTCTGCCACTGATTCAGTGCCTGACCTCAGACATATTTATTATGTCTTTTGTTGCTCAGCTAGTCCAACTGCAAAATGCAGAACTTATGAAGTTTTTCTTACCACAATAAAGTAATAAAATATCCAGACACAGAAAATATTCTCTATACTGGTATTCAATCTGCATTTTGCAAATACACTATAGGCTCAATTACAATGCTACATAGTCATAAGGGCTCGAAAAAGAGTGAGAAAAGCAGAGAGCAATGGGTGCAACTTGTGCTTGTACAGGGCAACCATAAACTCTGACTTGGGCTGTTAGCAGGAATTTTTACCGTGCCTTTAACAGCTTTTAGGCACTTCGTTTTTATAGTCATACACTGCAAATTCTTAAGTGGTTATTTGGTTTTGATTTCTTATTAAAATAAATAAATACCTACATGACTATTTATACTATCTGCTTGATAAAATAGCACACACAGCTTTGAGTATATTTATAATTAGGGAATTCACTGATTCTTCTTCACACAGAACAGTAAACTTCACTTTCTCTTAACTCAGAGTCAATTTCTTATAATTTTCATTACAAACTTTATTGGACATTCCTGATTATCCGTTTCTTAAAAGAAGTGTAAGATTAAATTCCAGCCAGCTTCTAAGGCATTTGAGTGAATGTCTCCCTTTTACACATGCAACAGTACCTCAGTTCTTGAAAATGAGATCTATGTGCTTGAACACACTTAATATTAAAAAGAAGAAAATAGAAGAAACTCTGGTGTTTTCTACAGCTTGACTGAGGAATGTGGCACAGTTTCTGGCACAAAAAAGCGTATGTCCAGGAAAAGATGGAGCCAACCCTATCGAAGAACTCATTAGTTTTCCACCAGATGTGAATATAGTGTAAGTAGCTTGGTTTAGATAATTTCTTTTGTGTGTGGCAGATTATCTCCTCTCCATTACATTCTATCTTTCTAGAAATAGCTATGTACAATTTGAATTGACTCTCTTTAAATCAATATATGACATTTGAAAGTATTCCCATCAGAGCGCAGAGAAAAAAATAGCAACCATATATTGGAAGAGGACAGCCTATAATTAGATCAAAATATATTTGGGATGTTTGGAATAAGGGCAAACTTCTTGATATTTGATATCTTAGGGGAGTATCTTGTAAGAATCTAGTTAAAACTAGGTACTAATTCCAGCTGAATTCTTATATTTGTTTTCTTTGTTCAGCTATAAAGGCCTAATAAGAACTAATAGTTTGATGTTTATTGAAAAATATGCTATTGCTTTTAGAGTGACCTCGTCTGTTAATTAATTTTTTCACAGCTAGGAATTACTGTCAGTCATTTAGAAACCTGTTTGAAGTAGGCATATTTCAGGAAGTGCAGGATGCTGTATATAAGCAGGTAGAGAAAGATATTCAAAATGCTTTGGGAAGTTGGAAATGGAACATAGTTATTCTGGTTTTGAAGCACGTGGTCAAAGTTTGGGAATAATAATCTGTGAAATTATTCCTTTGCTAAAATTACTTTTCCAGTGTTGAAGTGTGCTTTGAGCCCCAATCAGTAAAGGCAAGAATTCTGCAAATGACTGATACATTTTCATCCTTTTTTGTTGTCATGGAAAGAAATTATTTTACACAGTACAAAACAAAACAAAACTTACAAGAGAAAAAATAAAGAAGAAAGGAGGAAGAGAGATTTGGGAAAGGAAAGGATCCCTGAGCTGACAAGTCTGAACACCATAACTCAGAGTAGAAATTTGAAATTTATGCAAGCTTGTTTGAAGCAGTTACATAAGAATGTAGGGCATCCAGAAATCCTCTGGGTTTCTGAATCCATTCAGAAATCTGCCCAAGAGATCAAGTGAGAACACTGATGACATTTACTATATCCATTTCAAAATGAGATTGATAAACTCTGACTTTAAAAAAGCTCCCCCCCCCCCCTTTTTTTTTTTTTTTGATGTGTCAATAAAGGTGGAAAAAAGTTACCTCGTTGTTTGTCTAAGGTTGTTGTCCAAGGAAATGACTATGGTTTGTGCTGAAATACGCCGTTCAACCTACTTTTGATTAACCTTTTTCATTATCTACTTCTGAAATACTGAAACACCTTAATTGCTTCC